AAACGTTTGGGACTTGTGAACTTGAATCAAATGGGATTTGTACCTGAACTTTTGAACTAAATGACTTAATCAAACTTGAATCCAAATAAAAAAGAAATGTGCAAATGAGATTGAACTTGAGCTTGTGCATCCGGACTTGAACAATTACAAAATCTTGAATCATATGGACTTGATTTGAACATTAACTTGAGATTAATTTGGACACTAATTAAGCATGTTTCAAGCATGATTTGAACTTAAAAGATTACAAGGGATTTGATTTGAATACTTTGAGCAAGGATTTGAGCTTGCTAGTTGATCACTCAAACTTGATTTGAACATTACATGAGCCTGAATTTATATTGGACTTGAGTTAGAACATGATCTTGGACTCATATGACATTGAATCTACAAGCATTAAACTCAAAAGGAGCATGAGCTCTAAAGAATTTGAACAAGTGCAAGTGGACTCAAATAATTAAATCTGAATGTAGAGAACTTTGATTCGACCTGAAGGAGTTTGTGCTTGGGTTAGAATGAAAGAGTTCATTGAAAGCCAAAGCTCATGATCATAGAAAATTAATCCCTATAGCAATTAAATGTCTCGATCATGCAAAGAACAAAGAACAACTCACTTATGGGCCAATCATGCAAGTGGATATATCTATCTCTTTCAAGAAGAATAATCACACAATAAGCACAACAAGCTTCTTACAAATGGAAACCAAATTGAAGGGGTACCAATGAATATTAAAGAGCGATACATAAGCAGATATGATCTTCAAGTAGAAAGATTTGATATGTAATGAAGATAATGATATGTAATGAAGATAATGATATGATATACCCAAATACATTCAACGGAATATGCATGAATGTCAACAAATAGATGAGAAATTCATGACACATAAAGGATACAATGAATGTGATTTATCCATAAAGAGAAAGATCAGTTGGGAGGATACAACAATATGCTTGCAATCAATCTACAAGATTTAAATAGCAAGAAATTATCATATTGGTTGGAATACTAATTGACAACCAATAACATTGTAGATACTATCATTCACATTACAAATCAAATGATAATTGACCCATGGTATTTATCCTGATCATCCAAATGAAGGTAAGCATATGAGCAAGAAATGTAAGACGAATGAGGAACAAATTCTTAAAAGTTACACAAATAAAGAATGATAAAGTTTAGATACCTCAGATCATTCAAATGAGATAGTATCCAAGCAATGACCAAAGATTAAAATATGCAATAAATGCCAGATGTTTATGTCATCAATAACACTGTAACATAGACATGTACATTCAATTCTATGAGCAGTGGAATGAACCCAAAGCATACACAACGACTCTATCCACAACAAAGTGCCGAAGGATGTCATGCCGGATATGAAGGTCATTTATGAATACAGATATATACATCAAACTATTCATGAATGATGATGAGGGGGGATCCAATGAATGCTACGTCAACTTAATAATCAATCACTAATCAATATTAAGCAACTATATTGATCTGTTAAGAGCAAAGGGTTATGATACTACAACAAATACAGACCTTTGTGATCAAAGGCAGGAGATTAGTTAGTGCACTATGATCCACCTGCAGAAAAAAATTATAGTGCACGACAGTCTGCCTGTATAAAGCAGCGAACAACTCAATTCAGAAGCTGCTACGACAAGCCACCGGATCCGCAACTTCTATGCAAGCAGACAGAAGGCGTCTACAAATATTTTAAATACCCCTGCACGTGCACTGTAATTTGTATACACATAGGTACACTAAAAAGGGGTAAAAACAATCAAGAACCTACAAGGGCCCCGGCGAGCGTGTTATTGGTACACACGTGACGTCTAGGGATGCTGCGCGAGTTATCAAATTTTGAACCCGATCCTCCTAAGAAGATAAAGGAGTGGACAGGGTTCAATTATAAAATGTCCCCCAAACACCCGCATGGGCTCCGGCGAGCATGTTATTGGTACACACGTGACGTCTAGGGATGCTGCGCAGGCTGACAAGTGGATTCAAGTTCGAAACTGATCCTTCTATATGGGTCAATAGAAGTCGACAGGGTTCGAACCAACAAACAAATATACGGTTGTGGTGACCGTCATATTTGTCTTAATATATTCATATTAGGCCTTCAAGGCCTATAACAATGAGAATTCACTATCAATGACATAAAGCCTACGAAACCTGATCATAGATTAATAGCTTGATCGAGTTGACAAGGTTCAATCAACAAAAGAGAAATGACCCCAAACACCCCGATGATGGCCGTGTTGAATGCAGATCTCAACCGGAGGGGTTCAGAAATATTTTTCAAATGCCATTTCAAATACTCAAAATTCCATCCAAATTCTCACAAAAATCCAAAAAATTCTAAAAAATCCCAAAAATATTTAAATTTGAAATTCAACCCATTAATCACTTAAAGCAAAATTTATCCACCCTCCGCAACAGTTTGCCGGGGTGGACAAATCAAAATTTACCTCAGCTCACAAAAGAGCTAAATGCCTAGTCGAAAATATTACTAGGATTCATTCTCAAAAAGTCTTCTGCCAGTAAGGAAGTGATACGTGTCCTCTAACCGGCGGTTTGCCGTCAAATGACACCGCAAGATAAACGGTTATGACCCGGGGCCCTCTGAACCGAGTGGTTTTGCCGCCAAATGGCACCACGAAATACCGGTTATGGCCAGCGCTGATACGCTCCTTATTGGCATCAAATCCTTGAGATATGAATCAATAGGATATGATCGATAGGGCGCAAAGCCCTCTGTTAGCTAAGGTGGATTCAAATTTGTCCCCTTAGACAAATATTCACCCCTGGTTTACAAGGTACCCTTGAACGAAGCAACCCATGGCTGCCGACAAGGATCATTCTGTCAGGTTGGGTCGACTACCTCCTCTGACTAAGTAGACCAGGGACCACGATGGCCCGGGACGACGGAACCATGGGATCTTGATCGGGTCTATCATCCATTCCCCCACCATCCGCTTTAAGTGCTAGATGGTGAAAATTTTTATTTTAAGTATCATACATTCAAATTCCAAATCTTTAAACCTTTCAAAATCCAAACCCAATTTTTAATTTTCATACCTAATCCATGCTGCTACTATATGCCAGATAACATGTATATTCTACGTATCTGATTGACGACTAGCCTTAATCGAAAGTTCTCTCTCGTTAGTGGGAGGGGTAATTAACTATAGGGGCTTGCGCATATAGGAAACCAGAACTCAGATCATAAAGTCCTCACAAAATGAGGGTGAAATCTCTGGGTAGTGTCTTATCTACAAACCCATCTGCCTTCCAAAATTTACCACGGAACTTATTCAGTTAAAACTCCCTCGCCGAATAAAAAGAAAAGCGAGCGGAGGCCGGGGCCGAATTTTCGGAGCCCACAAAAATATATCAATATTTTCCTACTTTAGGATCATCCAATATATATCATTACCTCCTGCTTGTTAGATTGCTTAAAAAATTAAAGTGGCCCTAAAATATTGGTAATTGTTCTAATAAGCTGAGAACATGAGTAATAATTGTCATTGTCACATTGATATGTTTTCTTCTTTCATGTAACACATGATTACTAGCTATGAAGATTACATCACGATTGTCACATTTTATGATCATGAGTTGCGCAATTGGAAAACCAAAATTCTTCTAGGAGATTCCTAACCCGCAACATCTCATAGTGTACATGGATCTTTATTTTAACTTAGCGCTTGATTTAGCCACAAGTATTTAGTTTTACTCTTCCATTTAACCAAGTTGTCTCCCACAAAGATGCAATCCTAGAATGTGAATTTTCTCATCAATGGAACTAGAATAATCAGCATTAGAGAAAGCGTCCACATGTCCATTCTTTGTGTACGTAAGTACTTTCCTGGTGCTTCATTATATATAAAACATTAAATAGAAAACTTCCTAATGTTCTTATTTAGAAGTTTGTATGTGTCGACTCACAACCCCTATAACAAAGAATATATGATATAATGACATTATGATAAATCAATTTTCCAATAAACCACCAATATTGAAAGATATCTTCAAGCCTTTATTCTTTGTTTGTAATTTTATGTTTGTCATTAGAGTGTCAATAGGTTTGCAATTTATCAAAACAATTTTCTTCAAGAAGATGATTGCCATATTTTCACTAAGCTAGGAAAACTACTTTAAATTAGGAAAATTCTATTGACAAGAAATATTAGGGATGCTAGATCTTTAGTTCCAAAATGCCTTTTGTAGTTAGCATTTTACTTCAATAACTCTGTTCTGATCACTTCTAATAAGAATGATTTCATCAACATATGTTGTGAATAACAAAACCAGATGAATGATGCATGACGAAGATAGGGTGATATGTTGTATTATTGCAAAAGCCAAACATAGTAGGAATTATGCAAAACTTATCAAACCAAGCATGAGGCCTTTACTTAAGACCATATATGGTCTTGCTGAGTTTGCATACTTTGGTCCTCCCCAAAGCAACATACCATGTTGGCTGCTGCAAAATACAAATCGATAAATTTGAACAGCATAAAGGAAGCATTACACACCTATTTGTAGCAAAAACTAGTCTAATGCCCGGAGGAGAGGTAATCATATCCCACGCATGTTGATGAACAAGGCAACTATTTAAGCATTGGTTGCATGTTTCCGCTGGATATCCTATAGTGCTTACTCGTATATCTTGGGATTAGGAATGGATAGCAAGGATGTGGCTAAACATTGGAATCTAGAAGAAAGATAGTCAGTTGTTTGAGTAAGATGATCAGCACAATATCTTTTCTCTTTCTAAAGGGCAATATAAATATAATGGGAGCTATTATATACAGTAAAAAGTGGGCAAGATCATTGTGTGTGCACCTGCTGACATAGAGAAATGGGCATAGAGTCTCCAAGAGGAAGATGAACACGTGGAAAGGCTCAAGAGGTTTAGAAAGTAGGGAAAGGACTCATGAAAGGTAACATTATGTGATAGACCGCCGGTCAAGGATGTGGGCCCAGATGTGGAGGGCGGCTGCCTAGTTGGAAAGGGAGGAGAAGTAAATGAGGGGGTTGGAAAGGAAGGAGAATTAAAAGAGTGGATCACTTATCAAAGGAGGTGGGGGGAAAACGTGGAGTATATTCAAGTTTTGGTAGGGAAATAGGGAGAGATATATTAGGCCTTTTGGTGGTATTATTTTTCTTCATACAGATTTTGTGAGTGTTCTTGTTGTCTATTATTTTTGTGAGGGATTCTAGCTGCATCTAGAGTTTGGGAGTCCTCTTGAAAGAGGATCATTGTATCTTGCTTGTTCGTGTTTACTTTCTTATCAAAAAATCTGTTTGGTTTGCTGAAATTTACTATTTATTCGCTGATTTTTGGTGTTCAAGTCTTAACAAATTGGTATCATAGCAATTTCTTATACCAATGGTCGGAGAAGTGTTGAGGCGTTGGAAGAAAAGTTGGAGGAAGAAAAGTTGGAGGAAGAAGTAGGGCAACTGTGAACGGATGTGGGATTGTTGAAGGAGCGTTTTTCAGCAATGAAATGAAGGTTTAGGAATCTAGATGAGACGATGAAGCGGATGTTGGAGTTTCAAACTAAAGCGGCCCCGATGGAAGCAAGGGGGAATCAGGAAAATGACATGCCAAAGAAAGACGTCAAGGTGGAACTTTAGAATAAGAGGGCATACCCCACCTTGAGCCTCTTCCGAAAAGGGGGATGGATAGAGAATATGGAGGCAGGAGAAAATGGGAAGAAAAGAACAGATATACTGAATTTGAAGGAGGGAGATACAAAAGGAGAAGGGAGGACAGAGAACCATAGAGAAACCCCAATGCTCGCTTCATGCTCCATAGAAGGCATAAGGGGCATAAGTGGAAATTGGGATGGAGGAGATCTAAAGGCCAGGAAGCTGAAAATGCCAATGCTTGAAGGCGAGGATGCGCATGAGTGGATCTATAGAGTGAAGAGGTATTTTAGGGTGAACAGGTTAATAAAAGGTGAGAGACTTATGGAAGCCGCTCTATGACTGATACTAAACTGCAAGACAAGAGGGCCAAGGGCTATGTTTCAGATGCGACGAGAAATTTACACTAGGACATAGATATAAAAATTGTAAATTGCAGGCTCTCTTTGTGTGTGATGAGGGCGAGGTGAATAAGGCAAAGGCAGTGAGGGAGGAGGTAGAGGAAGAGAAGCTCTTACACTTGAAGGTGATTGAAGTTTCATTAAACTCCGTAGTGGGATTCACCCCAAATTATACTATTATGGTGAGGGGACAGATAGGAGGAGAGGTAGTAGCGATCCTGCTAGACAATGAGGCTACACACAATTTTATATCAAACTAGGTGGTTGAAAATCTTGGGCTAAAATTGGTGGAAACATGATGTTTTGGATTAATGATTGGCACGGGAAAGATGGAGAAAAGCAGAGGAATATGTCAGGGTTTGGTGGTAGAAAACAAGGGGAAAAGGCTTTTCATCCATGACCGTGACAATCCTCAATCCGACCACCACAATGTCCAATAAATAGGAAAGACTAGCCCGAAACAAATGAAGAGGGACTCAAAAAGCTTAGTGACCAAAAAAACTTGAGAAAGAGCATCGGTCATGATGGGAATATTAAAATCGATCATCATTTGAGATTGTATATGTTGAAGGAAGGTAGAAAGAACAAAAAAGAAACAAAAAATCCTCATTATGCACTTGTAGATAGTCTGAGACTCTGAGTCAATAGTAAATAATTTTTATTAAAGAAGTTCATGCCACTTTCCTTGCATGATACTATAGTGCTCCTCAATGAGCAAATCATATTGGGAGGAGAAAAGATATCATAATATAGGGTGTATACATGACAAATTACTTTCATGGAAATAGGTGGAATAAAAAATGACTCACATTTTCTTGGTGATATGTTCGAGCATGGAAATATAGAGATGATGGATTTACTACTATTTAGCAACCATATAAGGATAGCATAATTAGATGCTTGACATCTAGGAAATTTGATGGTGTCATCACTAGTAAAGGAGATGCATCAAGATGTTAAAGTTTTTTTATATGGATATTTATAAGAAAACTTATGAGCAATTAAGGCAAGGAAAATGAACAAATTCTGATACCTTAAACATCTTCAAAGCTGAATGAGCCACTACAACAGAATCTACGAGCAAGTCATGTCCAGGAGGCGGCCCTTCGAGGAAGAATACTACACGATGAGGCATACTTGTCAATGAGAAGGAGCCTTCAAGCTTTTCCCATCTTTCATTTGATGCTAAAACTCTGCAATGATCGCATTTAATTTTGTTTAAAAAGTATGTGTGTGTATGTGTATATAAATATAGTGCATGTAAGATATTATTAGAATCTTAAATCAAGCTCAGAATTCTAAGATCCGCTCAGATTGCGATTGAAGCAACGCATGTGAAAAAAGGTTGGTGTGCATTAGAACTCAACTTTTTTTTTTGTTTTTTCATATTTCTTTATTTTCTTTTTGTGCAAGCTTTGTTGGGATGTGGACGAGGTTTCAAGTAAGGCTAGTTAAACATAATGAATCAAAGAAGACGATGGAAATTTTGTTACCCACCTCCCTATAAATAAATAGCTTGTTGAGTCTGAATGCTCTAGTTTTAGCGTTGCTATGACTTGGCAAGGTTCATCCTGAGTTGCTCCAACACACACATAAGCAGAGACTGTATAATGAAGACCAGGTGAGATGTTTCTAGTTATGTCCTGCTCTGGGCCTTGCCAAACTTCTTTGCGATTAGTGATTACAGCATAATTTGATCCAGATAATGCAGTTCCTTTGAAAAAGCTAGACTCGCCTGATATTACAAATCCATCACAGCAATTGAGATGCCAGGAATGCAGCCCTTGAGCAAAATCATGATTTGAGATAATGTTATTGTTGACATAACATAATGAATCAAGCGTGGCATGTTTACTTGCCTGTTACATGAAAAAATAAAAGTTGATGAACTGCAAGAATAACTTTACTACAATTGCCTCTCTTTCTTCTAAAAAAATAAATATTACTTGCAGACCAACTCAAAAGATAAAATAAAATAAAATGAAAGTTGAGAAGGATGAACTTATTTTAATAAAACAAATGCTATAATTTATAAAGGGTAAATATGCCATACTATTACTAGATCTTAATCTACAATTATTTATGGGCACAAAACACATTAATTAGTTTAGTTATTCATGAAAAGAGACATACTTAACATGGTAAAGCTTTACACCGTAAGCATCCCAAGTGATTCAATTAAATAAGACAAGTACCTCAAAGAGCTTATGCATACCTCTACTAAGGTATCCCAAGCGAGCTATTGTTTAAAATTAAGCAATTCTCTGAATTATTACTTATTTAACTTTTTTTTTATTTCTTATTAAGATTTTTGTTTTGCCAACCTAAAATACTTGGGATTAACATTGAAGGAAGAATAATTTGGTAAAGATCCCCTTCAACAGCAGCTAGTACTTAGACAACAATGTACACATGCTCTTAGGACTACACCCTAAATAAGATCTCAAGCCTATTATGTGGCGTATAGTTGTTAGAATAAATTAAAGTGCATCCACCTTTGTATTCTTGATGTTACTACAAGCAGAGTGGTGTTTTACCTAGACTTATATGTTGATGATATGGGATGGTATTCCATAACTACAATCATGCCCAGAATATTAATGTAAACTTCCTTTTGAGATCTCAATAAAGATTCCCCCCGATCTTAAAGCAGGATTCATAAGCCTTTTATGAGAATTTAAGATCATTAAAAGGGTGAAGACACAGATCTTCCTACAGATATTTCGTGTTATTTACTATTTTTGGATATTTGAATTAGTCGCCTTTAATACGATGATTTGCCACAAAAGCCTTGTTTAACAAAGCAAGGGATATATTGATAATATGACCTGCCATGGACCAAGTGGTAAGCTGCTTGAAGAGAAGCAAGCATCATGGACAACTTTAGAACAGATGACAAGGCTGAACTATAGATAAGCAAGCGATTCGACCAGCACTACAGAGCAGGCAATAACGCTACTTAAAGAAAAGCAAGTATTATGGTTGATTGTGGAAAGGGCACTGAAGCTACCGGAGGAGTGAGCAATATGACTAGCTATAAAGTATGGGCTCTGAAAATTCCGTGCCCCGGCCTCTCTACGCCAACTCTTTCTTGTTTGTTTTATGTGGATAAAGAGAGTTTTAACGAATTTAGGTTATGGGGTAAATTTTGAGAAGGCAGATTAGGTTTTAGATAAGACACTACCCAGAGATTTCGCCCTCATTTTGTAAGGGCTTTATGATATAAGTTTTGGTTCCCTATAGTTAATTACCCCTCCCGATAATGAGAGAGAACTATTGATTAAGGCTGGTCGTAAGATATGTCGCATGTGTTGCAAACCCAACATAAAATAGCAACAATTTTAGTGTTTAAAAATGAGTCAGGTCAGCTTCGGGCTTGGAGAAGGAAGCACAACCAGTGAAGGTGGGCGGATCGAGTCCGGTGGTGGTCTCTACGTGCACATGACTAGGGCTTTGGGCTAGGATCAAGCGGATCTAGGGCTGACTAGGTGTTTGAGATTGGAGGCGGAGTCAGCGGCTTCTTCACGCAGAACAAAGCTAGCAGGAATCGAAGGGCTTCGTGTGTGCAGCATTCAAGATGTAGGTCTGGAGGTCAGAATCGGCAGCTTCTTCACGTGGAACGAAGCAACAATCAGTGGCTGAGGCTTTGGCTGCAGGTCTTTATGCATTTCAATTATACATCGAAATTTCGGGGGTTTGAATGCTTTGCCCCTGGTTTCTACCGAGTGGGGGTCTTGTGTCATGTGAGTGGGTGGTTACGTGAGTAGTGGGTAGTGGGATCGTGAGCGGGCAGTGGGATCGTAGGAGCCGGTCGACAGTTACAGATCAACATAAAGCACATAGTAAGCTTAATTAAGGAGGATCAAGCATTATAACTAGCTATGGAGGGCGAGATGAAGTTGTCTATGGAGGACGAGCAACACTAGTGGCTATAAAGAAAGAGGACTAAGCAATCTGGCTGGCTAGAACATGGGTAGAGAAGCTACCTAAAGAGGTTTCATGGATAGCTGTGGAGCGAGTGACAAAGCTACCCACAATCAGTTATAAAGCAAGTGACAAATATGCTAGAAAAGAAGCAAACATCATGGCTACCTATAGAGCGAGCAACGAAGCTATATGAAGTGGAGCAAGCAACTTATTAGACCATAAAACAGGTGAAGAAACTACTTGAAGAGAAGCAAGCATCTCCATTGGCTATAGTGCAGAAAACAAGCCTAACTAAAGTGTAATGAGCATAAGTACAACTATGAAGCGAGTAGTGAACATATTGGAGAGGAGAAAGCATAGAGCAAGCAATGTAGGTCTCATAGGAGACAATTGAGGCATAAGTGAGGTTACGGCGTAGGTCTAGGAAAAGCATAAGCATAGATGCTACTTGAATAAGAAACCCATATATTTAATATCCTTTGATAGAATAGGTGGGCGATGCAACTGTCATTATTGACATGAAGTTGGTGGTATGGTACCATCACCATTGTCCTTTTTAGTAGACTGTGCTAAAACACATCCCAGAAGAGCAAATAGGATATGCGAACGCTACTTAAATTTTGAAGTTTACAAATTTTTATAAAGGCTCCCAAAAAAAGCTACACTCTCCATGGCCATCAAACCGCTTCCTTTTTCCTTTCATCAAAATAAAGTCATGCCATCTCTAACCCTGATAGAGAAATGATCCAACAATCCTCAATAGCAACCACAACATTCATGCACCACCTCGCATAATGCCTAAAATCATATCATCGCTACCTCCAAAAAGGAAAGCCATCCTAGCTATCCATAACGGTCCTCCCATCATTGGTATTTTATTATTTTCCTTCAAGATGTGCAACATTTTCCTCAAAAATAGTGTCCCAAAACTAGACTACATTGCATCACCAAAACCATAGATACTAGTATCATTTTAATTTCACTAATGTTGTGAGTTTTATTGATTGTGTTCATGGAAAGAAGGCCTCTTATAACTCATATCAACTACTAATGGAAGATGTTTCGACTAGGTAAAGCCAATGTTTTTTTTTTTCCTAGATTTTTCTCTTAAAAAAACAAATGTCCTACACTCGTGCTCTACTTTACTTTTTTTTTTTACTGTGTGCGAGATTCCACTCGTAGCTAACACAATTAAAATCTCTCTACCACCTCAACTTTAACATCAATAATATTTTTTCATTATTTTTATTAACACACAAAATTTCCCTCATATTATATCTTTTTATCATAAAATTTTATTGATTGGCAACATAATTATATAACACTATGTACCATCATCAAATCTCATGACTTGGGAAGTATGACTGAAAAATTTGATTTTTGATATTATCATTAGCTTGGATTGGATGTCTCCTTTGTTCTTAAACACTGGAGGGGTAAGAGCTTTCATGATTATAAAAAAAAAAGCATGTAACAATGACAGTAGCATTAATATAAGAGCAACCAAGGAGAAACTAACTTTATTAATCCGCTTGGAAATTTCTAGAAGCACTAATGGCAAGTTGGAAACTTTTTTAATAAAGCTGTTATGGTAACATGATATACAATATTGTGTACAATTGTGAGAAAGCGTGCTGAGCTTGCAGTCACATTTTGTATGTGTTTCCATTTCCTATGCAGAATACTATTGTTTCGTTGTGCATTTTTTGCTTCAAATATTTTTATTAACCTCCTACATGCACAAGTAACAGAATATATGATCCAATAGACATGAAATGTTTCAGGTTTTAGAACTCCATCCTCCCAGATGAAGAAATGTACTGTGTAGTAATGTATCAAACAGCGTGCAAATCTTCTGTTTATAGGCATGCATATTCCAAAAGTTTGTTAAGAATGGAGAGTTTCATTATGTGGTGAAATTTTGTAGTCAGCACTTACTTTTATGCAATATAAATGACTGGAAATAAAATAATACATGGGCAGAAGAGTTTTAGTTGCAAATTTCCTGTTAGAGTTTTAGGTTTCATTTGGGACGGCTTTCTTACTACTATTTAAAGCAGCTTTTTAGTTAAAAAATTTCTAGAAAATTACTTTAAGAAGCAGTAAGAAAGCCGTCCCAAACAAAGCCTTAGTAGCAATTTATTTAACATTTTTCAGCAACAGGATAACAATTATAAAACTATAAAGAAGAGTACATTGTAATTTTCAAAATCTAATTACATCTACCGGTGGTATAAGTACTTACTTCAAACGTAAGTAATGGAGAACGAGGAGGCTTTTCAGCTCGTTTAACAACTAAACTGTTTATAAGGATATCAGTACCCAATGGTGGCCCCTCAAGGTAGATTACAACGTCTGAGGTATGAACATTCAAAATAAATTTTCCTTGCAAATTGGACCAATCTTTATCTGATGCTTGAATTCTGTTAGAAAAACAGCAATGCCGGATCTTAGGACACCAAAAAAAAAAGAGTTAAAATAGTACTAAATGTAAAAACCAGATAAAATATTATAATAAACTACATTTAAATTTTAGGAAATTAAATAAGTGAAACATTTCAAAATAACATGATAGATATAGCATTGAAAATTACTGTAGGAACTCACTTCCCAATGCTTGTGTATTGTTCACGGCCATTTACTCCTTTAACCCACAAACTAGCCATAACTTCGGCAGAATTAGCATTCCCAAATATTCGAACAACAGCAATCACCTCATATGCAAATTTTCGAATCACTCTACCAGTAATATCCTGCTGAATGCCGTTCCAGCTTTGACTGCGGCTGCTCGTAGAAGCAAAATGCCTTCCATGTAATGGAAGTATCTTCCCATCTCCAATAGATTCATGTACAAGTATCTTGCACCCTCTACCAGACCAATTATTCAAGCCATCCTCAAAGAATGAATTTCGTATGATGTTTCCATCTGCAGCAGCGATGCATCTTCTAGCCTCCTTTGTCATGAAAATAAAAAAATGAAGTATTTTATATATTTTCTAAAGAAATTGAAGAGAGAAAACAAACTAAACAACGGATGCTTAAATGTCATAACTAAGGCAACATACTATGCACTTAGAAAAGACTTCATGTTTGAAATTTACGCCTCATCAATGTTATAAAATAATAAGACCCATCGTCTTCTAGCTTGGTGAATATCAAGGCACATGAGTAATTAAAGGAAAAGGTTTCTATTGACCTATAAATCAAATAGATGCGAAAAGGAGCAAAATCGGCGACAAAAATGACGATCTGCGGGCGCGACGCGTCACTTGAAAGGTTAAATGACCACCGATCGCAAATTGCGTCGTTGATCAGGACATCGAATTCCCCTAACTAGAAACCACCCACAATTGAATCAGACAAGTCCAGTCAAAATTGGCGACTGATGCTCGAAAATGATGCGTGACACTGCCCAAATGACGTTCAATTGTGAAACGAACTTCGTTGTTGCGTACAAAATACTCGAGTCACCTAAAAATGATTATAAATTCGCTCAACAAAAATTGCACGACAAAATTGGCACGGATTTCGAGGCTTCAATGAGTGAATTTTGAGACATTTCACGAAAATCAAGGCAAAAATTCATTTCTATCATTTTAATTTTAAATATTATTATTGTTTAAATAATAATATTTATTATTATTAATTAAAAAAATCAAAATCAATCAAATAAAAGTCTTACCTCGTCGTAGGTCGGACGTCCGACCACAAATTCTTCGCACGTCGACGATGAGCTATTCACGTCGAAATGC